CAAGATTCATTCTTAGCAGGGTCTTAATATAGTTAAGTTAGCTTGTAATGGCCACAGGGAAAAAACAGGCTCTTAGATAGCACATTATAATGCTCCTTCTGAGAAAAGAATTATAGGTCCAAAAGTTGGACCTTCTTGTCAGAATATTCAGTTTAAAAAAGCATGACATTGCATCGTAAGGTGTACATGAATTAATATCCTCTTCTGGTGAGTTTTCCATATAGTATATTACTCAGGCTCAGCAACACAGTTACGCTTGCATTGAAATGCTGTATCATCTACTGAAAAAAAGAAATACCCAGAATGCTTTGGGTTGGCCCGGGAGTAAAGACACTTTAAAGATTGCCCTTGTCCTGGACTCCTACCCTGTGCTCTACCATTTCTTATGAACAGGTGGTCCCACATGAATTGGTGAGGCTCTCCTAGCTCCATCTCTTGGTCCTGTGTATAAATCATGTTCTTACATTCAGAGGCTCAGAGCCAGGCTAGATGGCCCCAGACAACCATGTCATTGCCACTGAAACTCAACTGCAATGTCGATTTGTTTGCAAAGGATGGACCAGTATTGCAAATGCCAAGCAATGGTGCTCTGTGAAGCAGAGTAAACCATCTCTGAATTCCTTAGAAAGTACCTCTGAGACTTGTGAACCTCTAAGTATGTTGCATGACTAATACTGAAAAGCAGAGAAAAAAAAAAACTCACTAGTTCCTCCCCATGTAGCAGTTTTTATTCTTTTGATTTTAAATGAGGGTAACACTTTTTTTTTTTTTGGAAGAACTTTAAAAATAGTTCTATTTAGAGCTGTGGCCCCCAATTCCAGGCTGCAGGCAGGTGTGGTACCAGTCCATGGCCTGTTGGAAACCAGGCTGCACAACTGGAGGTGAGTGGTGGGTGCGTGCACAAAGCTACGTCTGTATTTACAGCCTCTCCCCATCACGTGTGTCACCGCCTGAGCTCGGCCTTCTGTCAGATCAGCACTGGCATTAGATTCCCATAGCAGTGCAAACCCTCTATACATCGTGCATGTGAGTGGTTTAGGTTGTGCATTACTTATGCGAGTCTGATGTGTGGGGAGCTGAGGTGGAGCTGAGGCGGTGAGGCTAGCACCAGGGAGCAGCTGCAAATACAGATGATCATGATCATTAGCAGAGAGGCTGGACTGTACGGAGACCATAATAAATCAATTGCTTGCAGACTCATCTCAAAACCATTCCCTACCTCTCACCAGTCCGTGGAAAAATTATCTTCCATAAAACTGGTGCCTGTGGCTCAAGGAGTAAGACACCGGCCCCATATACCAGGGGTGGCAGGTTCAAGCCCGGTGCCGGCCAAAACTGCAAAAAGAAAAAAAAAGAAAATAAAGGAAAAAAAAACCCTGTTCCCTAGTGCCAAAAGATCGGGCACTACTGCTTTAGAGAATGGTTCTCTGGCAAACATGTGAATGAGCGGTGACATATTTACTTTGGGATGACCTGGAAGGAGCTCTATCTGGAATTTGAGAGAGCAGGTGTCACTGCAGGCTCTCAAACAGAGGGCGATGCTGCTCTCTGCATTGTTCCAGTTCAGTTGACTTAATGCAAGAGCAAACACAACCAGAGCTTTTTATCACTAACAGGTTTCATGGTTTTAGTAATAAGTTCTTCCCACAGAAACCTTTATTTAAAAATGTAAATCTCATTATGTCACAATTCCACTCACCAAGATTTCCTCAGCAAATTTCTACTGCACTTGGAATAAACTTCAACCCCCTTGCCATGACCTAAAGGGCCTGCACAACCTGGCACTTGCCAGCCTCTCAGACCACATTGTGTAACTCCGCCCTGCCCCCAGCACCAGTCATACCTCTCTCCATTCTTAGAACACACCAACTTGCTGTGCCTTAGGGCCTTTGCACTTACGATTTCCCTTTCTTAGAACGCTCTTTCCCTAGAGCTTCAGCTCTTCCCATGACAGCCTCGAATCCTTCAAGTGTCAGTTCTAAGGAAAATTTTTTTTTTTTTTTTTTTTTTGAGACGGAGCCTCAAGCTATCGCCCTGGGTAGAGTGCCATGGCATCACGCTCACAGCAACCTCCAACTCCTGGGCTCGAGCGAGTCTCCTGCCTCAGCCTCCCAAGTAGCTGGGACTACAGGCGCCCGCCACAACGCCTGGCTATTTTTTGGTTGCAGCCATCATTGTTGTTTGGCGGGCCCAGCCTGGGGATTCCAACCTGCCACCTTAGGTGTATGTGGCTGGCGCCTTAGCCCCTTGAGCCACAGGCGCTGAGCCAGGAAAACTTTTCAGAGGTGATCCTTTAGTGTGGAGTCACAACCCCAGTTGCAGTCACTCTCGGCCCCGTTTTCTTTTTATTTTCATCTTATCTCTTGTCACAATCAGAAATTTTCTTAGCTATTTCATTTTGTGTTTATTGTTTATTTCCCTCAGTGAGGCCAGGCCTTACTTTCTTCTATGTTTCCAATGGCTTGGACAGTCCTAACACATGGCCAATGCTCAATAAATATTGAAAAAATGAATTTGAGGTGACATCAGCAAGATGGTAGAGTAGGAGAAGTAGGCAATCTTTGTACCCCCACAAAGCCCCAGCAATTAGACAGATATCTGTGAATGAAAATAGCCCTGGGAGGGCTCAACAGTTTAATTACAAACCTGAGCAACATAGTGGAATGAAAAATGGAGAATAATGACACAATAAAGATGGCTGGGAAGATGGGCCCGCCTGATCTGGAGAAAGTTAGGGACAAAGCAGAAGGGCAGGGGCTATCAGCATTGACCCTGAGGTAGGCCCCATGGTGGTGCCCAGGCTCTGTGCTCTGTGGAAAACAGACAGCAACAGTTCCTGCATCAGCTGAGGGCTCCCTGCAGCTTTTCCAGCCAAAGTCGGCTTAGTGCTGGTTAGCAGGGGCCCCAGCAGCCTGCGCTACTGAGGACATCAACAGCTTCTGCCTCTGAAGGAAACAACAGCTCAGCTATTGCTGCCTTGGAATGCCCCCCTCCAGAGGGAAATGCTATTCCCTCAGCCCCCCAGAAGGGGCCACAGTTTTACCCTACTGACCTGGGGCTGCCCCGCACCCCACTCCCACCAAACCCTCTGGTGTCCTAGATCCCACTGATAACAAACACTCTACACGCCCTGTGCTTCTGACAGCACAGCCACTACCACAGCAGGCTCCAGCCGCACCCACACCCTGCAGCAGCTGTGGCTCCTGTTCTAGGTCCTGCTCACTAGCCCCCATGCCTCGTGGACCACAACCAGCACTGAGTGGGGGTGCCACTGCTGCCTCAGCCCCAGGAGCTGTGGTTCCTCCACTTATGCCCCAATTCTAGACCCTGCCTTTGTGGCCACTCCACAGGTGCTGCACATCCAACCCTGGGGCTGCTGCAACCATGAGCATGCTTGTGAACTACAGCTGGCTTGGAGAAGGCTCCCCCTGCCCCATCACAGCTGCTTCTATGGGAGAAGAAGAAATCAGGAAGACCCCATCAGCCTTCACTATCCCAACAGCCCTTGCACCACTGTAGGCACTCACAGCCTTGGATTCTAAGGACCCCTGTTTCTGTACTGTCCCATCAGCTGAGGTCAATGTTGGCAAAGATTGCAGGGGATGTTGTTGCCAGGGGGCTCCTTTATCACTTTAAATGTAAATATATTAAATTTTCCAATTAATAGATATAGATTTACCTACATGGATTAAAAAAAAAGACTCAACACTGCTGCCTACAAGAGATGAAACTAAGCTTTTTTTGTTGTCATGATCTTTTATCATGTATCAAATAGTCTTAAATATAAGTTACAACCTGAACACATTTGATAGATATTTTTATCTATTTACACACAAAACAAATTCTATGTACATACTGTATCTTTTGCCTATAGTCTAGAAATATAGTACCTTTCATTGCAGAATTTCTGCTTAACATAACAAGCAAAAACAAACAAGCAAAAAACTATATAAACCAAAAGCAAGCCAAATGCCCCTCAACTACAAATATCAATATTGAATAAAGCATTACAAGACAAACATACAATAACTTTTTTGGTTTAGAAATGCAGAATGCAGGGCAGGTGCAGTGGCTCACTCTGGGAGGCAGAGGCAGGTGGATTGTAATCCCAGCACTTTGGGAGGCAGAGGCAGGTGGATTGTAATCCCAGCACTTTGGGAGGCAGAGGCAGGTGGATTGTAATCCCAGCACTTTGGGAGGCAGAGGCAGGTG